GTATTATGTTTCCGGGTAATACAATTCTAGCATGAATAATAAAAATTTATCATGATATGAGGAAATAAATAATAACTTTATTATTGCCTCTAGGGCATATTTCCTTCAGTCTCCCACTTGCACTAGAGTCAATAATCTAGATTACACAGTAATGATTCTAACACCCATGGAGCCTTAGTGTTGATCATGTTTTGCTCATGGAAGAGGCTTAGTCAACGGGTCTGCAACATTCAGATCCATATGTATCTTGCAAATCTCTATGTCTCCCACCTGGACTTGGTCCCGGATGGAATTGAAGCGTCTCTTGATGTGCTTGGTTCTCTTGTGAAATCTGGATTCCTTTGCCAAGGCAATTGCACCAGTATTGTCACAAAAGATTTTCATTGGACCCGATGCACTAGGTATGACACCTAGATCGGATATGAACTCCTTCATCCAGACTCCTTCATTTGCTGCTTCCGAAGCAGATATGTATTCCGCTTCACATGTAGATGTCGCTACGACACTTTGTTTAGAACTGCACCAACTGACAGCTCCATCGTTCAATATAAACACGTATCCGGTTTGCGATTTAGAATCATCCGGATCAGTGTCAAAGCTTGCATCGACGTAACCATTTACGACTAGCTCTTTGTCACCTCCATAAACGAGAAACATATCCTTAGTCCTTTTCAGGTATTTCAGGATGTTCTTGACCGCTGTCCAGTGATCCACTCCTGGATTACTTTGGTACCTCCCTGCTAAACTAATAGCAAGGCACACATCAGGTCTGGTACACAACATTGCATACATGATAGAGCCTATGGCTGAAGCATAGGGAACTTCTTTCATTTTCTCTCTATCTTCTGCAGTGGTCGGGCATTGAGTCTGACTCAGTTTCACACCTTGTATTACAGGTAAGAACCCTTTCTTTGCTTGATCCATTTTGAACTTTTTCAAAACCTTATCAAGGTATGTACTTTGTGAAAGTCCAATTAAGCGTCTTGATCTATCTCTATAGATCTTGATGCCTAATATGTAAGCAGCTTCACCGAGGTCTTTCATTGAAAAACTTTTATTCAAGTATCCTTTTATGCTATCCAGAAATTTTATATCATTTCCAATCAATAATATGTTGTCCACATATAATATTAGAAATGCTACAGAGCTCCCACTCACTTTCTTGTAAATACAGGCTTCTCCAAAAGTCTGTATAAAATCATATGCTTTGATCACACTATCAAAGCGTTTATTCCAACTCCGAGAGGCTTGCACCAGTCCATAAATGGATCACTGGAGCTTGCACACTTTGTTAGCATCCTTTGGATTGACAAAACCTTTTGGTTGCATCATATACAACTCTTCTTCCAGAAATCCATTCAGGAATGCAGTTTTGACATCCATTTGCCAAATTTCATAATCATAAAATGCGGCAATTGCTAACATGATTCAGACAGACTTAAGCATCGCTACGGGTGAGAAAGTCTCATCGTAGTCAACCCCTTGAACTTGTCGAAAACCTTTCACAACAAGTCGAGCTTTGTAGACAATAACATTACCATCAGCGTCAGTCTTCTTCTTAAAGATCCATTTATTCTCGATGGCTTGCCGATCATCGGGCAAGTCAACCAAAGTCCACACTTTGTTCTCATACATGGATTCCATCTCAGATTTCATGGCTTCAAGCCATTTTGCGGAATCTGGGCTCATCATCGCTTCCTCATAGTTCGTAGGTTCGCCATGGTCAAGTAACATAACCTCCAAAATAGGATTACCGTACCACTCTGGTGCGGATCTTACTCTGGTTGACCTACGAGGTTCTGTAGTTAACTTGATCTGAAGTTTCATGATCATCATCATGAGCTTCCTCACTTATTGGTGTAGTCGTCACAGGAACTGGTTTCTGTGATGAACTATTTTCCAATAAAGGAGCAGGTACAGTTACCTCATCAAGTTCTACTTTCTACCCACTCACTTCTTTCTTGAAGCTTTGTCTGGATTTTGGTCCTATTGTAATCAGTCTGACCAACTGCTTTGTTTTGTACCTTTGCAGAACAAGCCAAAATGTAAATGTTGGAGATGCTATGAGCACTCCAGGTCCAACACCAGTATTATTTTTAAATAGAAGAAAACAAAAAATGGTTAAGCCATCTACAATTTCTGGAGAAGTCCGCTAAAAGAACATCATGAGCACATTCTAACAGATTCTTCGTTAAGTCAACTTCAGCACCATGATTTAAAAAATAGAGGATGCCATTTTTATGGAAGATGGTGAATATTTTCAAGAAAAAAAATGACTTCCCTTTTCTTTCTTTTGCATGTTGAAAGTCTGGTATGTTTTCGACTACATGTATTGCTTAAAGAAACTAAGTTATTTGAAGAATGCTGCCGTGCTATTTGGAATTTCACAAACATGCTTCATTATTGTACATTATAGAAATGAATAAACTATTGATTTATCCATTTGCAGATCTTGCTTTAACACAATTAACAATTCTTAGATAAATATGATTGTATTGCAAAATGTGATATGCGTGAAGCTATGGAGATGTGATGTTAGGATGTTGAAAAAAGATGGCCTCTAAGTTCTTCAACCGCTTTCAGAAGTTGGGCTCCAATCAAAAGAAGAATTGGTTCTTCAAGATGTAATTTATTCCGCTTCAAAGTAGATGGCATTTCTTCATTTTTGACCACCTTTTGCTTTTGTCTGTATATTAGATTGATACGAGATGTGGTATTAATTTATGAAGTAATAATGAATCCAATTCAAAGTTCTACCCCTGCGCGTGAGCATGCGGAATTAAACAGATTATAGTTTGCGATGACCCAGTCAGAAAGAAATGGCTCTGCTGATAGGTGGCACTGCTATCCCCACTACCCTTGCTCTTGGATCATAACTCAAGCATATTTTTTTTGCATGATATCTTTGCGTGCATGATCGTTGGTGCAGGTGTTGCAGCTTCTTCGGTGCAGTATACACTGACAAATAGTGAGCTAAGCAATCATATAGATGACATTGATCGATGATATTTCCATTATCATTTGTTTATTTAATGAAAAATATTTAGACGATTCAATATTTTTAATGATACTTACTTTTTTATTGGCAACATGAGTTGCAACGAATGTTTGGTGCCGTATGAATATAATGTTGGTGTTGAGATCTTGGTGCCATTATATATTCTATGTGAGGCTGCTTTTCGGTGAATAACAAGATTAATCTTTTTTCACAACAAATCTGAACACCTAATGGATGAAACAACATATATTATTATATGTATGCAACAAGATGACCAGAAATATGTCAATTTTGAAATTCAACTTGAGCGAAATTAAAACATTGTGTGCCCATTTAACTTAATACTTTTTGGAACATTTCTTTAGTATTTGTGTAAAAACCAACTTTGATCAACGTTCGAGACATGTATTTGTGTAAAAACCAACTATAGTGTCATAAAATACATTCATGTATTTACCAAAAAATCAAAAAATATGGAAATAAAAAAAGTATTAAATTGTAATACAAACTAGAAAATGGAAAATAAAATAAAATTTGAAAACAAATATAAACAAAAAAATAGAAAAATATCTCACTTATTGGATCGATCCATGCAGGGTGTAAAAACATAAACGAATTGCTGGCAAGAAGCGAGATATAGCGCCTATGAGGCTTTGCTTAGTAAAAGAGGTGAGCGTCATTAAGTATGCACTTGCGAGGTTGAACCCGTACGTACATGCTAGTCTTCTATAGCCCATGTGGGTTTTCTCTTGGTCGTCTCTTCTATATTTATCTTCTTATCCAATTGTTTGAAATGAAGCGGAGATTTAGAACTTGTCTTAAAGGAGGGTTTCTTTTAGCAATTTTGAAGTAAGTTTTTGATTGTCCATGTTTCGTGTTTATGATTTATTCATAGAAGAAAATAGATGAAGACCAAGGTCCGAATGAAGAAACTCGAGACAACACCAAGGTCGGTGGGGTTCATATAACCTAGCCTTTTAGTGTGTTCAGAATCTTGTCTCCTGGGGCTTGTTTCAACGTGATTTGATTTGTTGTACCATCTCTACTCTACCAATATGCATCTCCTTCGAATCTTCGAGGTTATTTATATCATCTTTTGAAGTTTTTTTCAAAGATATTAAAACATCAATGCAAGAATGTCAACTTTGATAAAAGATTATGTTTCTACAAGTCGTCGCCTTTGTTAAAACAATGTGACATAATTCTATGTCTTAGGTTATCAAAGAAAACATAAACAAAAGGTACATCATTAGTGAATTTCATTGTATCTGGAGGGAGGAGGGTGTTGGAGGGGTGTTGGGGGCATCCTAAATCTTATAACCATATCTTAATCTTAATTCTGCTAATTCAAATGATTTAAAGATCGATCACCACAACTACCGCGCTTAATTGTACCAATTGAGACTAATAGGATAATTGATCCACTATGCCAACCATCATGATAAGATTAGCAGAACACACAAGCTAATTTGTGGCGTAAATACTTCCTCTAGAAAAGACACGTACTAGTTGACCAACCATAGGCCGACAAAATAAAGCCAGAAGAAAGCATTATGTGAGTCAATCTATCTAAGTCCACAAAACTCACGACGTGATCACACATCTTGAGCGACTTTTGTGTACGGGCAGAACTACATGATCAGCATCTGAAGATTTAATTAATATTCATGTTGTGTAATTATTATCGAAACAAGAAGAATTTATAATGGTCGACGGTGTCGAAATGTGTAATGTCGAAAGACGATCGGCGACCCCACGATCGATCCCATTGTGCGTGCGACCATTTCTGGCTGCAAGACGTGCATGGCGCAAACAGCCTAGTTCGTCTCCCCTCTACCCCCTACGTGCCGGGCACCCCGCAGCGCCCCATGTCGGTCACGGCCGGCCGCCCCGCGATCCGCACGCCCCGTATAAATCCCCGCCCGCCGCGCCGGACACTCCCAGCACCACGACCACGGCGACCTTGCCCACTTAATTACCTGCAGAGAAGAACGAGGCAACCATGGCGCGGTTGACGATCGCATCGGCGGCGGCGGCGGCGCTGCTCGTGCTCCTCGCGGTGGCGGCCGCGGAGGCCTCGCCGGCGTGGTCGGACTACGCCGGCGCGTTCGACAAGTCCCTCCAGTTCTTCGAGGCGCAGCGGTCCGGCAAGCTCCCCGCCGACCGCACCGTGCACTGGCGCGGCGACTCCGCCCTCACCGACGGCTTCTCCCAGGGGGTACGCGCGCCGATCCGACGTACTACTCCGATCGGAGACTAGCAGGATCCGCATTTGCATTTGCTTATCGATCGAGAATGGATGGACGTGTACGTGCAGGTGGATCTGGTCGGCGGGTACTACGACGCCGGCGACCACGTCAAGTTCGGGTTCCCGGCGGCGTACGCGGTGACCATGCTGTCGTGGGGCGTGCTCGAGTTCGAGAAGGAGATGGTCGCCGCCAACTCCCTCAACCGCGCCCTCGACGCCATCCGCTGGGGCACCAACTACTTCATCAAGGCCCACACCGAGCCCAACACCCTCTGGGTCCAGGTACACACCACTCCCGCCCATCCCCCCCTAAGCCCAGCCCTGTCCAGCTCCAGCCCGACCCGGCCCGGCCTGACTCGGCGTCTTGAGCTTTGATGAAGGTGGGCGACGGGGACAGCGACCACCTGTGCTGGGAGCGCGCGGAGGACATGTCGACGCCGAGGACGGCGTCCAAGATCGACGCCAGCCGCCCGGGCTCGGAGGTGGCCGCCGAGACGGCCGCGGCTCTCGCCGCGGCCGCCAAGGTGTTCCGGCACTACGACTCCATGTACGCCGACCTGCTGCTCATGCACGCCAAGCAGATCTTCACCTTCGCCGACACCTTCCGGGGCCGCTACGACGACTCCCTGCAGTGCGCCAAGAAGTTCTACCCCTCCGCCTCCGGCTACCAGGACGAGCTGCTCTGGGGCGCCGCCTGGCTCTACGAGGCCACCGGCGACGAGGACTACCTCGACTACGTCGCCCGTAACGCGAACGGCTTCGGCGGGACCGGCTGGGCCGTGCGCGAGTTCTCCTGGGACAACAAGTACGCCGGCGTCCAGGTGCTGCTCTCCAAGGTGCTCCTCGCCGGGGGCGGCGACGGCGACTACGCCGACACGCTCAAGCAGTTCCGGGCCAAGGCCGAGTTCTTCATGTGCGCCTGCATACAGAAGAACGGCGGCAACAACGTCAGGACCACCCCGGGCGGCCTTCTTTACGTCGCCGACTGGAACAATATGCAGTACGTCAGCTCCTCCGTCTTCCTCCTCACCGTCTACGCCGACTACCTCGCCGAGTCCGGCGACAAGCTCAGGTGCCCCGACGGCGAGGTTGCGCCCGCCGAGATCGTCGCCTTCGCCAGGTCACAGGTGGACTACGTCCTGGGCAAGAACCCGCTCTCCATGAGCTACATGGTGGGCCACGGCGACAAGTTCCCCACGCACGTGCACCACCGCGGCGCCTCCATCCCCTCCGTCTACGCCGTCAACGACACCGTCGGGTGCATGGACGGCTTCGACGCCTACTACAACAGCAAGGGCGCCGACCCCAACGTCCTCGTCGGCGCGCTCGTCGGCGGGCCAGACGGCCACGACGGCTTCGTCGACGACCGCTGCAACTACCAGCGCGCCGAGCCCACCCTCGCCGCCGCCGCGCCCATGTGCGGCGTCTTCGCTCGCCTCGCCGCCGAGCCCGCGGCCGCCGGTAACAGCCCGGGCTACCAGCCTCCGCAGGACACCCTGCACGTCGGAGGCGCGCCGCTGGAGTTCGTGCACGCGGTGACCAACTCGTGGGAGCACAACGGCGTGGACCACTACCGGCACACCGTGACGGCGAAGAACACGTGCGGCCACCCCATCACGTACCTGAAGCTGCGCATCGAGGGGCTGACCGGCCCCATCTACGGCGTCTCGGCCACGCACGACAAGGAGATGTACGGGTTCCCCTCGTGGGTCACCAGACTTGACGCCGGCGAGAAGCTCACCATCGTGTACATCCAGGAGGGCGGCCCTGCGGCCAAGATCGCCGTCGCCGAGTACAAGACGGGCTGAGAACCACACCAAACACTATTGACACGCTGTTTTTTTTCTGCGTCTATATTGCTACGATTTTTGCCCTGCTTTTTTAGTTTCTCTCTTTGTATGTGGTATCCGAGGTCCCAATTCAGAACAACATCGTTGAATTGTTTGCTTTTGTTGTTTGGTTTATTAAGAGAATATTACTCCTTCCTTCCCAAAATAAGTGGCTCAACTTTATACTAGCTTTAGTATAAATTTAGTACAAAGTTGAGCCACTTATTTTTGGAGGGAGGGAGTACATTCTGAAATGTAGAGCAAAGTCTAACATTTTGAGCCGGATCTTGATGCTTCGAAAAGGAGATCCAATGAAATTGAGGCGATGTGATTGGTCGGGACCTCCTAATCCACTTTATTTTTGAAAAAAGCTAATCCACGCCTGGTCAGAGGATACACCCTGCTCGATATGGGCCCGCCCATTACGGGGCGTGTGTGCCATTTTTAACGTTTCTTTCAGTTTTTCAATATCAGTTTTATTTTTAATATTTAATTTTACATAAAAATAAAAAAAATATTTAAAGATAAATTTTTTTTCATGAATTCAAAAAAGTTTCAAATTTCAAAAAAGCATACAAATTCAAAAGGTTCATGAATTTCAGAAGAATATTCCCAAGTTCTAAATTTTGAAAAATGTTCAGGGGTTTTAAAAAAGTTTGCAAAGGTGAAAAAATATTGTCGAAAGATGTTCCAAATTATATGAAAAATAGAAATCTAAAAACAAATTCACATTTTTAAAAAATATTAGCGGATTTAGAAAAATCACAAATTTTTAAATGTTCCAGATTTTAAAAAAATCATGAATTTAAAAACTGTGTATGAATTTTATTTCTTTTTCAAATTCGAAAATTTGTTGCCAAATTCAAAAAATGTTTGCATAATGTTTGCTTTTGTGGTTTGGTTCAAGACAAAGATTACATTCTGGAATGCAACTCACTCGATCATTTTGTGGTTTGATTTTAAAAAAGATTAGATTTTTGCTTCAAGAAGGAGACGCAATGAAATCCAGGCAATATGGTTTGTCGGAGAAAGTTTGCAAGTGAGGAGGTCAACAGCGACCCCTCTGTGTTCGCACACGAACACGTCACCGTGTACCTCCAACGCCGATGGTGATGCACCGCAGCTCACGTCGAAGGAGATCTGTCCGGAAGCGCGGTACGCAAGCAATCCGGCGGGTGCTTTTCAGGACCCGAAACCCCAAGCGCCCGGGAGGGACCCCGTCTAGACGCGCGGCGGCTATGGGCTGCCCTAGGTCGATTCGCTCGCCCCTAGAGCCTCGAGGATCGCTGCCCTTCAACACGAAGAACGAACGAAGAACGAGCGAGAAAGAACAAGGGAGAGATGTAAAAACTAGGATAAAAAGTAGTATATTGATTTGTTGATTGTGTGTTGTTCATCGGCCGTCACCTCTCATCTATTTATGAGGCGGCTGGACTTCCCGTACAAGAAAAGGACTAAAAAGTCCATTCAAAACGTCAAAAACCCTAACCTAACTCGGACAGGAATCTTTGGCAATTTTCCGGATCAACTCGGTCTAACCGATTGGTCTGCTTCGGTACTGATGAAGTCATGTACCTAGGGTAGGGTCATAGACCTGTCTTAAATACCCTACCCAAGGACACCATCAGAAGAAACTGCCTTCCAGTCGACCAAGGGAGACTTCACTCGACGGACTCGAAGGACTTGACCATGAAGACTCACTCGACCACCAGGAGATCAAGAGTCACTCTGCATCCAAACGGTCTGTAATTAAGTAATCTTTATGGCATTTAGGACACTTTATGTAAGACGTTACCAGTGACGCCTAGCCTTAATGTACTTTAAACCCTGCATTACTGAGGGCCGGAGGGGTCTGGCAGACACTATATAAGCCACCCCCCTCCTCAGTGTAAAGGATTCGCACCCCTGTAATCTATACACTCATAATCGAGTCGACCGCCTCCGGGCTCCGAGACGTAGGGCTGTTACTTCCTCCGAGAAGGGCCTGAACTCGTACATTCCTTGTCCTTACAACTGCTCCATAGCTAGGATCTTGCCTCTCCGTACCTACCCCCCATTCTACTGTCAGACTTAGAACCACGCCAGTTGGCACCCACCGTGGGGCAGGTGTCTTAGCGATTTTTGGAGAAGTTGCAATTGTTCCGATTGCCTTCATCATGATTTCTGGTGGAGTTTTGGTCGAGGGCCGCGAGATCCGTCTCGGCGCGCTCACCTTCATCGCCGACGACTCCGCTTGGCTTCAGGAGGCTCCACTCGACATCGACGCGCTCCCCGTCAGTGGGGCGACGCATTTTCGGGCGTGTGTCCGCGGTGTTCTGCTGCGGCAACCGTCGGCTCCTTATCGGTCGACTCCCCTATCGTCCACCCTCCCTGTCTCCCGCCAGTGCAAGCGCTCTGGTCGGTCGAGGCTCCAGCGGTGGGTGAGGCACGCGGTGGCCCGCCAGTCGGCTACCACCCAAGTCGCGGCAATCGAGCCCGACGAATCTCTCTACGGCCCGTTCGATCTGTCGACTGGCTCCGTAGAGACCGCATCCGAGTGCGACAGCAGCGATCCGACGGCGGAGGTCTTGATGGTCAACGGGCCTCGAAGCCCTCCCGGCTTCCCCCACGACGACGGGGTGGACGGTGGAGGCGACCCCGCTCAAGTCCATGAGGAATATCAACCCGAGCCATTTAACTCCCTGCAAAGGGAAGAACTTCGCCACAGGAACATGGATGCCCTGCATACTCCCATCGCAGGAGAAACCCCCGAGGCTCGTGCCTTGGAGGAGGCGCGTTTGGACAACTTGGCTGAACACACTCGTCTGGAGAATCTCCAGCGAGCACTCGACGAGCGCGCGCGGCAACGAGTACCCGACTCCAATCAACGTCAACTCTTCCCGCAGCCGACTCAGGTATATCGAACCCCGATTCAGAATTTAGCAGCTGCAACCCGTATAGCAGAGTCAATTCAGCCCTCTCAGTCGGAGGCTGGCAGAGGCTTGATGCAGATTAGGGATTTGCTCCGGGCAGCAGGAGATCAAAATTCAGCCGTGTCACAGTCACGCAACAGGATTCACAGTCGATCCGTTGCTGTGAATACGGTTCAGTCAGCTCACAGCCCTAGATCGCCTCCGCGGCGTGAAGGACGTGAGAATCGGCGAGACCAATATGGTGACCGATACGATCGTGATGATAGGCGTCAAGTGCCCACTCCTCCCCCGAGGGGTGGGTCTTACGCTCATCGGCAGCAAGATGACAGGCGTCAACTCAGTGTGGGGAGCTCCGATCGACCCCAGGGAACCAGGCTTTGACGCGCGATCCATCATCGTGCAAGGCTTGGTCGATCGGAACAGGGCCCATCGAGGTGGCCACGACAGAGATGCGCCCACTAGCTGCCGATTGCACGTTTCAGGTCCAGAATGTTTCAGCAGGGCTATCAGAGCCGCGGTGATTCCCCCCAACTTCAGGTTGGCGACTGGAGTAAGCAAGTTCACCGGTGAGTCTAAGCCTGAAACCTGGCTTGAGGACTACCGAGTGGCGGTACGGATCGGCGGCGAGAATGACGAGGTGGCCATGAAGCATTTACCACTCATGTTGGAAGGTTCGGCCAGGGCGTGGTTGAATCAGTTAACTCCAAGTAGCATTTACACTTGGGAAGATCTTTCCCGAGTGTTCGTCAGGACATTTGAGGGAACCTGCAAGCGACCAGCTGGGTTGACAGAGCTGCAAGTCTGCGTGCAGAAGTCGAATGAAACCTTAAGAGAGTACATTCAGAGATGGATTACTTTGCATCATACCATGGAGAACGTGTCTGATCATCAGGCAGTCTGCGCCTTCAAGGATGGTGTTAAGAACAGAGAATTGAGTTTGAAGTTTGGGCGAACCGGAGATATGACCCTGAGTCGAATGATGGAAATTGCTAGCAAGTACGCCAACGGCGAAGAGGAGGACCGACTCCGGAGCGGCAAGTACAAACCGAGTCAGTCGGAGAAAGGAACCTCCAGTCGGAAGCAGAAGCGGAAGGCCGAACCAGCGGCTCCTGGGGAGGCTCTGGCCGTGACTCAGGGCAAGTTCAAGGGAAAACCCAAAGGATCCTGGAACCTCAAGAAGGTGAAGGATAAAGAAGGAAATGACGTGATGGATCTGCCATGTCACATCCACACGAAGAAAGACGAAGAGGGTAATTTCATTTACCCAAAGCATACCACTCGCTAGTGCCGGCTCCTGATCCAGCAGTTCCAAGGTAAACAGCCCAAGGACAAGGAAAAGGAGTCGGACAAAGCCGAAGACAAGGAGGACAGTGATATAGGATATCCTCATGTTAACTCCACTCTGATGATCTTCGCCGGATGTGGAAAGCAAGAGCCGACTGAAGGTTATCAACCATGAGGTGAATATGGTCGCCCCAGCGACACCCAGTTATCTGAGATGGTCCCAAACTCCCATTACATTCGACCAATCTGATCACCCGACTCACATAGCCACCCCTGGGAGGCAAGCTTTGGTGGTCGACCCAGTCGTCGAAGGCACTTGACTGATGAAGGTGCTAATGGATGGTGGTAGTGGACTGAACATATTATATGCGGAGACGCTGAAAGGAATGGGCATTCCAATGTCCCGACTGAGCACCAGCAACATGAGTTTTCATGGAGTTATACCTGGCAAGAAGTCTGAGTCACTCGGCCAAATAGCTTTGGACGTGGTGTTCGGTGACTCGAAGCATTTCCGCAAAGAGAAGCTGACATTTGAAGTCGTAGATTTTCAGAGCGCTTACCACGCTATTTTGGGGAGACCAGCTTACGCACGGTTCATGGCTCGACCATGTTACGTGTACCTCAAACTGAAAATGCACGGCCCCAAAGGCGTGATCACTATCACTGGTAATCGGAAGAAGGCAGAAGAGTGTTTCCAGAAAGGCTCGAAAATTGCTGATTCCCAGATAACAATGGTCGAGCTGGAGGGGTACAAGAAAAATGCAGATCCGAGTGATTTGTTGC